GAGAAACAGAACCAAAAGGGAGTGTGTGTGTTTATGTGTGTGTATTGGTTTCACTAATCAGTTTTTTCTGTTCAAAAGATGAGGAACATTCTTGCTTCTAAGAAAAATCTGTATACTACAGAATTGAAATCTAAAAGTTGTATTTTTATGTTCTTTTCAATAGAGTAAAGTTAAAAAAAAATTCTTTTTTAGATTTCTAGTCTGACTCTAACTCATGTGGTTCTGACATCAGAGAACTTTCCTTTTTTTTATCCTGGTTAATGAAACTTGAAATATTTTTGTCAAAACACACATTTCTATATACTAAGACTTTAGTTTTCCTGAATTCTATTTTATTTTTGAAGTGCTAGAATATAATAAAGATTTTTATTAATTGTATGTAAAGTCAAATGCCTAACTTCTCCTTTTTCACAATCTTTGTACTAATAAACGAAAACCCCCTATATATATCCCTTCTGTAAGTAAAAAGCTGCTAATCCCGAATTCTTAGTTAGATTATCTTGTTTGCACACATTTTGGCTTGTCTTAAGGTTTGTATTTTACCTGTCTCAGTCAGACAGACCAAACTTATTCTTAGAATTATACTTGCTGTCCTGGATTAAACATTTGGCCGGTTTCTCTTTCTCTCATGTACTTTAAACCCCTTTTTTTGGTTCAAGTTCTTATTCCTTTTTGTTTATTAATTTCTTAATGAAGCCCTATGTTAGCTAGACTTTTTGTTCTGATTTTCACATTTAATAATGTTGCCAAAGCCTTTAGTGTTTGTTATGTGCAGGCTGTTTATGTATTCATCATGTTTTAGGAAGTTTGAATATTTGAGAAACCTAGAATCTAATGAACAAATATGTTTTTGTTGTTGTTATGTGAATCAAATTGCTTGCGGCTCATAGCAACCATATGTATAACAGCCCTAAAGCCTGCTCTATCTTGAGCCGTTCTCACGGACTCTGACACCTATTTCCATTATTCCAGTTACTATATCAAGATGGAGGGTCTTCCTCTCCAATGCTGTCCCTCCACCTTCTGATCATCATATCCTTCTCCAGGGAGTAGTCTCTCCTGGCCACATGCCCAAAGTATGTGAGATAGAGCTTCAAAATCCTAGTCTCCAAGGAAACCCTTGGTTTCATGCTCTTGAACACAGACCTGTTTGTTCTCTTGGCAGTTTATGGGATGGTATGTTTAAGACTGGTATGTTTCCATACCACAACTCAAAGTCATTGATTCTTCTTCTGTCATTGTTAGTCCAGCCCTCTGATACATAGCAAAGAATTGCAAAGACTATGGCCGGAATGAGGCACATCTTAGTCTGTAGACTGACATCTTTCCTTCTTAGTACTCTGGAGAGGTCCTTTACAGCAGATTTTCCCAGTGCAATTTGTCTTTTGATTTCCTGCCTGCTGGTGCCAAATGTGTTGATTATGGAACAGAGTAAGATGAAATAAATTGTTAACAATTTCAATCTCTTCTCAATTTATCATGGTGCTGTTCAGTGGTGAGAATCCTTTTTATTTTGAAAGTTCTCTATTTTGTGTTATGCACCATCAAGTCAACTACAACTTATACCAACCTTATGAACAGCAGATCTAGAGCTTTCCCTATTTTGCACCATTCCCATTATCTCTGGTATACTGGAGTCCATTGGTACAGTCACTATGTTTATCTGTTTTTAGGACATAGACAATTACTTTCTATCCAATAAAATAGTGTTCTAACTGAGAAATATACATTTCATAAATAATTTTGTTGTTAAACACCAATGTTGTTATGCATATATTCTTGCTTTTTAAGTTTGTTAAGTGTTATACAGCAAAGAAGCAACTTGAAAAGTTAGAAATTATAAAGAAGCATTAATTTTTAACTTGATGTGTTATTTCCCCCACTTCTACATTATGAGTAAATATCTATAGCCAAATTCGATTTAATGTTTCCTAGATTTTGATGTTTACCCTCTAAAGTGTCAATCAAATTTTTGGTGTTCCTTTCTTAAGGTATTTTCATATTTGCCAAATTTTCTTACGGTTAGTTCTTTTGGAAAACGGTGGCAGTAAATATTTTTCTCTTTGTATAAAACAACTAATAGAATTATTAATTATCATTTCAATGACAATATACTGTATCCTTTGCATACATTTCTTGTACTTTCCTTGTTGTTGTTGTTATAGTTATGTGCCGTCGAGTCGCCTGGGACTCATAGCAACCCTATGTACAACAGCCCTAAACTCCGCTCTGTCCTGTGCCAATCACACTGTCTCCGACACTCCCATCCCA